AAACAAAAAGAGAGGCCAGAGGTGAAAGCAGAGAATCTCAGTGATGAGCTCTAAAAGTAGGTAGAGCCTGGTTAGGGGCCAGGGACTCCGGGTAAACGGTTCAGGTTCTCAGAATGAGGCGGTCAGAAGGTCGGGGTAACGTTGTATGGGGAGCAGGAGTCAGGGAGTTCATATGCCGAGCGTGGTAGCCATAGGTGGCGTTAGCTCACTCCCAACCCACCCGCCCGTCGCGGTCCGTGTCGTGCGTGTCCCAGGCTGCGCTCACCGAGTCCACGTATGTGCCGCTGCTCGTGATACGCGATCAGCGGCTCGACCAGCGATACCAGCCGTCGCCGTCCCCATGGTCCATACGATCCGCGATCCGCCTGCAGCCGGGGCAGGCACAAGTCAGTCTCTGGTCCCGCCCCAGGCCTTCCGCCCCCTCGCACGGAGCCACGCCCCCTGGGACACATGGGATCCGCGGTGAACTGGGGGGAGGGGCCAGCGTGTCAATTTTCCGAGGACAAACTCGGCGGAGGACCCTCAGCCCTGAGTCCACCAGAACAAATCACCCTTCCCTGAAAAACAGCGAACTACGGGAGCACTGCGTGGGAAGACCTACGACGATGCGGGGCCACCCTCTCCCCGCGCCGGCCCCGCCCTCGGCCTGCACGTGCTGCACCTCTAGCTGGGCTGAGCTGGGGTGGTGATGGGAGCGCAGCGTGCACTGCACCCCTTGCCGAGACCCTATTCCAGACTGACTTTGTTGAACATGTAGCCCACACCCCAAGCCAGCTATCTCAGGCCCGACCCACTTATACCCTTACCAGGCTGGTGGCAATTTCAGGCTCCCCCTCTCCTCCAGCCCTGCCCTGCGCTGCGCTGGTGGCTATATGCCTGCTCCCCGTGGGAATCAGGCACTGCCCGAGGACCATCACCACGCAACCCCAGGGCTCGGTCTCTCTATACCCCTCCCATGCTCCTCAGGGCTCCTGTACCTCCCGTCACATCTCAAAGCCACTTGGTTCCCATCTCTCGCCCTTCTCTCGGGCCCAACATCAGCTCACCGGCTCTTCTCCTCTCTCCATGTCAGGCCGGTCTCGCCTCCTAATTAGAGACTACATGGGCCCTCCTCCTAATACCGTCCCCTAGGCCCGCGGCCCTCCTAAGGTCGAAAATCTGAGACAGAAAAAAAAAAAAAAAAAAAAAGAAAAGAAAAGAAAAATCTGAGACAGAGCCCCTCTCCCAGGTGGCCTGCCTGGTCACGCCCCACCTCCGCACCAGGTGGTCTCTGCTCCGATCTGTCAAGGCCGACTCATCTGGTCACATACTCTGAAGTTACTGCTGTTGTTAAGAGCTTGGGCCACAGCCGGCGCGGTGGCTCAAAACTGTAATCCCAGCACTTTGGGAGGCCGAGACAGGCGGATCACGAGGTCAGGAGATCGAGACCATCTGGCTAATATGGTAAACCCCGTCTCTACTAAAAATACAAAAAAACTACAGGGCGGGTGGCGGGCGCCTGTAGTCGCTACCCGGAGGCTGAGGCAGGAGAATTGGCGTAGGCCTGGGAGGCGGAGCACACGGTGACTGAGATCCGGCCACTGCCTCCAGCCTGGGCGCGACAAAGCGAGACTCCGTCTCAAAGACTTGGGCTCCACAGCCAGATATTTTGGAAGTCAAATCAGCCACTTCCTCTTACTGGCTGTGTGACTGTGGGCAAGTGACTTAACTCTCGCTGCCTCGGTTACCCCCTCTGTAAAATAGAGAGAAAAATGGTCCTACCCAAAGAGGAGCAGTTGTGAGGAATAAATGGGTTGGCCATGAGGCACTTAGGACAGAGGACAAGCGTGGTAGCCTCACACCTGTAATCCCAGGCTTGGGAAGCCAAGACGGGCGGATCACTTGAGATCAGGCCTTCCAGACCAGCCTGGCCCACATAGTGAAACCTCATCTCTATTAAAAACACAAAAATTAGCCGGGTGTAGTGGCGAACCTGAGAAATCCCAGCTACTCGAAGGCTATTGCAGGAGAACTGCTTGAATCAGAGGTGGAGGTTGCAGTGAGCCGAGATAAATGCCTGCACTCCAGCCTGGGCAACAGAGGCTGAGACTCCGTCTCAAATAATGGCTCACTCTTTCTCAACCAACACATAATAGGCACAGCGGCTCACGCCTGTAATTCCAGCACTTTGGGAGGCCAAGGTGGGCAGATCACCTGAGGTCAGGAGTTCAAGACCAGCCTAGCCAACATGTGAAACCAGTCTCTACTAAAATGTACAAAATTAATAATGCGCAGTGGTAGGTGCCTGTAATCTCCACTACTTGGGAGGTTGAGGCGGGAGAATCGCTTGAACCCGGGGTGTAGGTTGCAGTGAGCTGAGATTGTGCCACTGCACTCCGTCCTGAGCAACAAAAGTAAGACTTTGTCTGTAAAATAAATAAATAAAATGAAATAAAAAGGCGAAGTCCCTCTTCATGCCTCAATTTTAGCAATTTTGCTTTCCCAAGGGAGAAGAAGGTAAATTTAATTTCTGAAACCAGGTTCAGTCGCCATTTTCTCTGACCCCTGTCAATACCCCGCAACTCTCCCAAACCCACCTCCGAACCGCCCCAACCGCGTGTCTCCTACCTAAGCAGGCCTACTTTCTCAGATGGGTTAGTCGGAATTTTAGCCACTTCCGTCCCGAGGAAGCCTCATGGTCGTACTGGAAGTTCCGTGGGAGTCATCATGGGGGCGTCGCTCGGGGAGCCAGCCTGGTGCCACCTCCCCTGGCCATGAGGGCCTGCGTCTGGGGACGGTTTCCCCTGGGCCCGATGCCTCAGGAGCAATAGAAGCAGCAGAGCGTCACCATGCCCATCATCGGTCCTGGGGATGGCAAAGGCCAGGGTCGGGGGTTGCAGGTATGGCTGGACAGAGATAAGCCCGGGGTGGAGAGGGAGTTACTGGGATGGGACAGAGAGATGGAAATTGGCTACAAACTTTTAGGGCTCAAAGGAGGCGGGCGATGGGGAAAACAGGGCGTGATGTAGAGGGTAAAGCCACCTATGGGTAAAAACCACCTTAGAGGGACGGACTCTTCTGGCCAGTCTCGAAGTCCCAGACCTGGGGAATTTCAGGGAGAGACGTGGCGCACATCCCACGCAAAGTACAGGGCATAGTTGTGGCCAGCCACAGGTCAGGGAGGCTCCCCGTCATTGCTCCCAGTCCAGACCCTGATCCTCGACCCAAGCCGCCGAGCCGCCCTGCCTGGACTGAGCCCCCCACCCTCCCTTTGATCATGCAGCTTCGTTCCGCTCTCCACGCTCGGCTCTGCGTTCCCGCAAAGAAGGATGCCCAATTCGGCCGCTCTCCAGGTCAGGCCCCGCCTCTGGCTGCGCAAGAGCCGCCCCCGCCCAATGAGTTCGCACGAGCGACTCACGGGAGGCGGGAGCCAACAGTGCCTGGAAGGCCGCAGGCGCCCTCGCCGTCCACAAAGCGCGGCCCCTGACCGGGGAAGGCGGGTGGGCGACGCCGCGGTGACGCGGCCGGGAGACTACAACTCCTGTCGGTCGTCGCGGCACTCTGCCCGTCCACCTCAGCTGTTCTAGCCCCAACGCCTCACGGGAAATGTATTTTTTCCCTCTGTCCTTTGTCAGGATGGTTTTAAGAAAAGAGGTGTACAGTCCTATGCCAAAAAAAAAAGTCCTATGCAAAAAAAAAAAAAAGAAAAGAAAGAAAGAAAGAAAAAGCAGGCGCGGGTCGCTCACGCTCACGCCTGTAATCGCAACACTTTGGGAGACACGAGGCGGGGCGGATCACCGGGAGTGGGAGGTTGAGGCAGCCTGACCAACACGGAGAAACCCCGTCTACCCAAACATACAAAATCAGCTGGAGTGTAGTGATTGTGCCACTGTAATCCCAACTGCTTTTTGGGAGGCTGAGGCAGGAGAATCGCTTGAACCCGGGAGGTGGAGGTTGCGGTCAGCTGAGATCGTGCCATTGCATTCCAGCCTGGGCAACAGAGCGAAACTCCATCTCAGAAAAAAAAAAAAAAAAAAGAAAAAGAAAAAAGGGGCGAAGCAAAAAAAAAAAAAAAAAGAAAAAGAAAAAAAAAAAAGGACGAGCCGAATCGAGGGGCTGGAGGAAATATCCCATTTCCTCCAAGAGTGAACAGTGCTCCTCGCTCCTCTTCTGCTCCAGCGATTCAGATGGTCAGACAGTAGCCAAGAATTCCTCAAAATGCCTGGCACGGCAGTTATCCAGTAAACATTTGTAAAAGTTATGAATTAAAAAATACATGAGCACAGTAGCTCAACGCCTGTAATCCCAGAACTTTGGGAGGCTGAGGCAGGTGGATCACCTAAGGTCAGGAGTTCCAGACCAGCCTGACCAACATGGTGAAACTCCCATCTCTACTAAACATACAAAATTAGCCAGGTGTGGTGGCGCATGGCTACTGGGGAGGCTGAGGCAGGAGAATCACTTGAACCTGGGAAGCGGAGGTTGTGGTGAACCGAGATCATGCCACTGTACTCCAGCCTGGCAGCCTGGGCTATAGAGCAAGATTCCATCTCAAAAAACAACAACAAAAAACAGGCTGGGCACAGTGGCTCACACCTGTAATCCCAGCACTTTGGGAGGCAGAGGCGGGTGGATCACCAGGTCAGAAGATCGAGACTATCCTGGCTAACATGGTGAAACCCCATCTCTACTAAAAATACAAAAAATTTTCCGGGCGTGGTAGCAGGCACCTGTAGTCCCAGCTACTTGGGAGGCTGAGGCAGAATGGTGTGAACCCAAGAGGTGGAGCTTGCAGTGAGCCAAGATCACGCCACTGCACTTCAGCCTGGGCAACAGAGCAAGACTCCATCAAAAAAAAAAAAAAAAAAAGAAAAACAAAATACATGACCTGATGTATAAAACTGGCAGGTTCCCCCGTGGCAGCATGTTACCTGTAGGAGAGATCTGAGCCTCAGCGGCCATTCAGTCCCCTGACTTATTCCCTTACCTCCCCTGCCTGAAAAATGATGAGAACACATTGATTCGGGCCCAAACTCGTGTTATATTATCGAGGTGGAAAAGAGCCATATGTATTAGGAGGGGAAACTGAGGCAGACCACAGGACGGGGCTCCAGACGGAGGACAACAGGACCCAGGACCCCTTCTGGAGGCTCAGAGATGCCAGTGTTCCAGGAGGTCTCACAGCATGAAAGGGGCCTGACCACATTCGCTTTTAGCAGTCGGAATGGCGGATGGTCAGGCAGTGGCTGGAATCACATTTATATCCTTCGAATCAGCATCCTGGGCCTCCCCCGGGGTGGGCAGGAGGGACCCGGTGTCATCTCCACGGAGGGAGATCCAAGGGGCTGTGGAGAGAGAGGGGGAGGTCATCAGAATCTCTGAGGTGCTCTGGGTCTGACTGACATCCCCCATTTCTGTGTGTCTCACACACACTCCCTCAGTCTCTAACCCCTTCCTTCTGGGCCTGTCTCCCCTTCTCCCAATTTTCCATCCCCCCTCTTTCTACATCTTTGCCTCCCTCCTCTGGGTCTCTGTCTCCCCCTTCCTCTGTCCCCTCTCTCTGTGCCTCTGTTCCCCCGTCTCTGGGTTTCTGTCTCTACTTCTCTCTGGTCTCTGTCCTCCTCTCTTTGGGTCTGTCCCCACACCAGGTCTCTCTCCTCCCAGGTCTGTGTGCCCCTCTCTTGGGGTCTCTGTCCATCTCTCCAAGGCTCTTCCTCCCGCTGCCCACACCTGGCAGCCCACTCCTCATCCTTCTCCACAACAGAGCTCCTCCTACAGCCGCTGCTGTGAGTAGCAAGACACCGATGACGATTCCCACCACGAGCACCGAGGACTTGGCTGGAGTTTCTGCAGCCAGAGAACGCTGTGAGATGTGGAGCAGCCCGTTCACCCCCACCCAGTCAGGACACAGCACTGGGGGGTCCCAGTCCCTCCCAGCCTCGGAGATCCCAGCACCAAGTGTCTGATGGGCAGAGGCAAGGCCAGGCGGGCGATCTCGGCAGGGTGCCCCCAGGTTGGATGTAAGAACCAGCCACAGCACAAGCCGCCGCGGTCACACCGGCAATGGACCAGAAGCGGCAGGGTGGGGCTGTCCCGGCGCAGCGGGGAGGGGCAGGCAGAGCAGTGGGAAGTCAGCCTCATGGGCCCCGGCAGTAGCAAGGCAGCAGGTGGTCAGTCTTGGTGAGGACGGGCATAGCAGACAACGAATGGTCAGATTCCAGGAAGACCTGCAGCAGCAGCAGCAGCAGCAGCAGGATGGAAGACGGTCAGACTCAGGGAGGACTGGCCATGGTGAACAGCTCTTCAGACTCAGTGAGGCCAGAAGCAGCAGGACGGAAGGCAGTCGGCCTTGGGAAGGACAAGGCATCAGGCTTTGGGGGCACTGACAGGCGCGAGGCACAAGGCAGTCAGATTCAAGGAGGTGGCAGCAGCGGGGAGGAAGGTCAGACTCAGGAAGGACCGGCGCAGCAGTGAGACAAGGCAACGGGAAACCAGGAGCATCACCACCAGGCGGGGCCTCACCCAGCTCCACCCTGAGGGGCTGCGCCAGCCCTGCGTGCTGCACGATGCAGCAGTAGTGGTGCTCATCGCCACTTTTGACTGTTAGTGACGACGAGGCGTGGAAGGAGCCGTCACTGTTGGGGCCGAAGTCGCCCTGGCCGGTGCCAGCGGCCAGCCCATTCCGCAGGAACCGAAGTTGCAGTTCCGGAGGGTAGAAGGAGAAGGCGCTGCAGGTAAGCACGGAAAAGCCAGGGTTGCCGGGTCGGGCCTTCAGGCGCATGGAGGGGGGCTCTGCAGGAAACCAGGCAGACAGGTCTAAGCCCTGAGCCCACCACTCCCAGGGCCAGGGCTGGGTAAGGACAGAAAGAGGCCTCCATGTTTGCAATGTGCTAACCCCGGATAATATGGTGGTAAAAGAGGAGGCGCTTCCCAGGTGACAGAGACTGAACCTATCCACCCTGAAGGTATCCCCTCAAGATGTCACCTCCCTGGGCTGGGCATGGTAGCTCACGCCTGTAATCCCAACACTTTGGGAGGCCAAAGTGGGTGGATCACCTGGGGTCAGGACCAGACTGGCCAACATGGTGAAACTCCATCTCTACTAAAAATACAAAAATTAGCTGGGCACCTGTAGTCCCAGCTACTCAGGAGGCTGAGGCAGGAGAATCGCTTGAACCTGGAAGGCAGAGGTTGCAGTGAGCTGGGATCGCGCCACTGCACTCCAGCCTGGGTGACAGAGCGAGACCCTGTCTCGGGGAAAGGAAAAAAAAAAGATAGAGGATAATTATGAAAAATTCCATACTAACACATTTGAAAATTTAGATGAACTGAACACATTCTTGATAAATACAACCTTCTAAACTGACACAAGAGGAAATTTAAAACGTCAGCAGTCCCGTAAGTATTTACATTTTTTTTTTTTTTGAGACAGAGTCTCGCTCTGTCGTCTAGACTGGTGTGCAGTGGCAGGATCTCCGCTCACTGCAAGCTCCGCCTCCCAGGTTTATGCCATTCTCCTGCCTCAGCCTCCAGAGTAGCTGCAACTACAGGCGCCCGTCACCACGCCCAGATAGTTTTGCGTATTTTTAGTAGAGACGGGGTTTCACCATCTTAGCCAGGATGGTCTCAATCTCCTGACCTCGTGATCTACCCGCCTCAGCCTCCCAAAGTGCTGGGATTACAGGCATGAGCCACCACGCCCGGCCTTTTTTTTTTTTCCTGAGATAGAGTCTCGCTCTGTCACCCAGGCATGATCTCAGCTCACTGCAACCCCCGCCTCCTGGGTTCAAGTGTTTCTTCTCCCTCAGTCTCCCAAGTAGCTGGGACTACAGGTGCACACACCACCACACCGGGTAATTTTGTTTTTAGTAGAGACAGGGTCTCACCATATTGGCCAAGCTGGTCTCAAATTCCTGACATTGTGATCTACCCACCTCAGCCTCTCAAAGTGTTGGGATTACAGGCGTGATGCACCGTGCCCAGCCTATTTAAAATGTTTAATCCATAGTTTAAAACTTTCCGAAAACTAAAATTCCAGGTCCGGAAGACATCAATTAGTGAATTCTTCCAATGTAGAAATGATTCTACTCCTACGCAAACTCTTCAGGCAATAAAACAGAGGAAACACTCTCCCAGCGTATTTTATGAGGTCAGCATCATCTTGACAACAAAGGACATTATAAGAAAGAGAACTTAAGGCCAATGTCTCTCATAAAAATAGATTCAGGAATGGGTGTAGTAGCTCACACCTGGAATCCCAGCATTTTGGGAGGCCAAGTGGGCGGATCAGGAGGTCAGGAGATCAAGACCATCCTGGCTAACACAGTGAAACTCCATCTCTACTAAAAATACAAAAAAATGAGCCGGGTGTGGTGGCGGGCGCCTGTAGTCCCAGCTACTTGGGAGGCTGAGGCAGGAGAACGGCGTGAACGCGGAAGTCGGAGCTTGCAGTGAGCCGAGATCACACCACTACTCTCCAGCCTGGGCGACAGAGTGCGACTCCATCTCAAAAAAGAAAAAAAAAAAAAAAAAAAAGCTACATCAAATCAAGAGTGAAGTACTGACACTAAGTCCAATAAATCAGCAGAATAGGAGAGGGTCAGAAGCAGATCCACACCTTACACACAAAACACACTCCCCTACAGTCCAGTGAGGGAGAGGGGATCGTGGTCTAGCAACAAATGATGCTGGCTGGACATATGAACCTCAACTCCTACCCTCATCATAACAGGCAATTAACTCAAAATCAATAGTATCACTAAATGTGGAAGCTATTTATCAACTAAGCTTCTAGAAGACATAGGTGAATACCTTTCTCGGAGGAAAGAGTCCTTAAAGAGAATACACAACAAAGCTACAGAATCAAAGATAAAATTGAGCTTTATAAATTAAAATTTATAAACTTGGGGCCAGGCACAGTGGCTCACACCTGTAATCCCAGCACTTTGGGAGGCTGAGGCCGGGTGGGTCACAAGGTGAGGAATTCAAGACCAGCTTGGCCAATATGGTGAAACCCCATCTCTACTAAAAATACATAAAATTAGCTGGGCATGATGGCAGGTGCCTATAGTCCCAGTTACTCAGGAGGCAGAGACAGGAGAACCACTTGAACTCGGGACGCAGAGGTTGCAGTGGGCAGAGGTTGCACCATTGCATTCCAGCCCGGGTGACAGAGCAAGACTCCGTCTAAAAAAAAAAAAAAAAAAAAGGGCCGGGCGTGGTGGCTCAAGCCTGTAATCCCAGCACTTTGGGAGGCCAAGATGGGCGGATCATGAGGTCAGGAGATCGAGACCATCCTGGCTAACATGGTGAAACCCCGTCTCTACTAAAAATACAAAAAAACAACTAGCCAGGCGAGGTGGCAGGCGCCTGTAGTCCCAGCTACTCTGGAGGCTGAGGCAGGAGAATGGCATAAACCCGGGAGGCGGAGCTTGCAGTGAGCTGAGATCCGGCCACTGCACTCCAGCCTGGGTGACAGGGCGAGACTTCATCTCAAAAAAAAAAAAAAAATTCATAAACTTTATAAAATGTATAAATAGAAATCGATAAACTGAACTTCACCAAAATTAAGAATTTTTGTTCATCCAAAGGTTTCGTTAAGGGAGTGAAAAAAGGTTGGGTGGTCTCATGCCTGTAATCCCAGCACTTCGGGAAGCTGAGGCAGGAGGATCACTGGAAGCCAGGAGTTCAAGACCAGCCTGGGCGACATGGAGAAACCCGTCTCTGAAAAATTTTAAAAATTAACTACGTGTGGGGGTACACACCTGTGGCCCCATCCCTTCAGGGAGGCTGAGGTAGGAGGATCGCCTGAGCTTGGGAGGTTGAGGCTGCAGTGAACTCTAATCCCGCTACTGCACTCTAGTCTAGGCAACAGCGCAAGTGCCTGTCTCAAAGAGAAAAAAAAAAAAAAAAAAAAGCAGGTGCGGTGGCTCATACCTGCAATCCCAGCACCTTGGGAAGTCAAGGCAGAAAGATCCCTTATGCCCAGGATTTCTATTTTTTGTTTTTTTTTTTTTTGAGATGAAGTCTCTTTGTGTCGCCCAGGCTGGAGTACAGTGGCACAATCTTGGCTCACTGCAACCTCTGCCTCCCGGGTTTAAGCGATTCTCCTGCCTCAGCCTATCAAGTAGCTGGGATTACAGGCGCCCTCCACCACACCCGGCTAATTTTTGTATTTTTAGTAGAGACAGGGTTTCACCATACTGGCCAGGCTGGTTTTGAACTCCTGACCTTGTGATCCGCCTGCCTCAGCCTCCCAAAGTGCTGGGATTATAGGCATGAGCCACCACGCCCGGCCAAGCCCAAGACTGCTAGACCAGCCTGGGCAACAAAGTAATACCCCATCTCTACAAAAAAATAGAAAATGTTAGCCAGGCATGGTGGCATGTGCTTGTAGTCCCAGCTACTTGGAAGGCTGAGGCAGGAGGACTGCTTAAGCTTGGGAGTCCAAGGCTACATGGAGCTATGACTGTGTCACTGTACTCCACTCCAGTCTGGGTGACAGAGCAAGATCCCAGTTCAAAAAAGAAAAGAAAAAAAAAAAAGGCAAAGATTTCAGCAACTGCCTAGGGCTGGGCATGACTGCCCAAGTTCCCTTCAGGGAGGGTGGATCTGGACAATCGTGGGTCTTGGCTGGGATCTTGGTTTTGGTTGCTCAGCAGAAAACACATTTGCTGCTTCAGGAAAGCCCAGCAGCTTCTCTCTCCTGGAGCTGCCTCTCTGGCAAGTTGGCAGAATTTGCTGCACAGTCAAGTGGAATGGAGGGCCGGGCCGACCGCCATCAGCAGTTCTGGCTTCTGCTTTATGTTTACCATTCTTTTCAGCAAATCTGTATCTTCCTGTGTCGCGCTCAAAGCCGCGTGCCTTTAGCCTCCAAGGTAGTTCCAATATAGACTAAATCCAAGCACAGAAAATCTGTCTGGCTTTTGGTTCTGTTTAACAAAATACCAAACCAGGCCGGGCATGGTGGCTCACATCTGTAATCCCAGCACTCTGCGAGGCTGAGGCAGGCGGATCACCTGATGTCAGGAGTTCGAGACCAGCTTCGCCAACATGGTGAAACCCCGTCTCTACTAAAAATATAAAAATTAGCTGTGCATGGTGGCGCATGCCTGTAGTCCCAGCTACCCTGGAGGCTGAGGCAAGAGGATCACTTGAATCTAGGAGGCAGAGGTTGCAGTGAGCCGAGTTCATGCCATTGTATTACAGCCTGGGCAATAAGAGTGAAATGCCATCTCTCTTAAAAAAAAAGAAATCCATCCTGGCCAACATGGTGAAACCCCGTGAAACCCCGTCTCTACTAAAAATACAAAAAGTAGCTGGGTGTGGTGGTGTGCGCCTGTAACTCCAGCGACTAAGGAGGCTGAGGCAGGAGGATCACTTGAACCTGAGGGGTGGAGGTTGCAGTGAACCGAGATCATGCCCACTGCACTCCAGCCTGGTGACAGAGGGAGACTCCCTATCAAAAAAAAAAAAAAAAAAAAAAAGGCCAGGAGCGGTGGCTCATGCCTGTAATCCCAGCATTTTGGGAGGCCGAGGCAGGTGGATCACAAGGTCAGGAGTTCAAGACCAGCCTGACCAACATGGTGAAACCCCATCTCTACCAAAAAAATACAAAAATTAGCCGGGCATAGTGGCATGCGCCTGTAATCCCAGCTACTCAGGAGGCTGAGGCAGGAGAATCGCTTGAACCTGGAAGGCAGAGGTTGCAGTGAGCCGAGATCACACCACTGCACTCCAACCTGGGCGACAGAGCAAGACTGCATCTCAAAAATAAATAAATAAAAAAGATT